AAAAAAAAAAAAAAAAAAAAAGAGGCGAAAGTTTCACGTATGGTTCAGAAGCCGAGGACGGGGTGAGGGGCAAAGTTTTTTGGCGACGGAAAGTGGAGAGCCTGGCCACTGACACGACGACTGCTTTTGCCAAGTGACTGATAAATTAAGGTTATATGTAATGCAGCTGTACGGAGTCGCTGTCCCTCGTCCGGTTGCATGACGTCTTGTGCACGTGAGGGAGCCTAGTAGGTGTGTGTGGTCAGTCCAGATGCAATATGTATGCACACACACTTTCTTACGTCAAATTCGTCAATTGATGGATTGTTTGTTCCTTGCATAAAAATGTTTGGATGCTAAAAATTGGAGCTTTAAAGCACCAGTACACCACACATCGGCCTGCGGGTGTCAGCATGAAACCCGCACCACTTCGGAGGCCGCCAATCTTTTTTTCAACGGCGCAAAGGGCTGCGCAGCGCCTCCGAGTTTTGCGTGTGGCGACGAAAACTTTGTGCAAGGCTGGGGCCGTGTGCTAGCGGTTTAACGTCGCTCCGATGTGACATTTGAATGATTTGCACATACTTTCGTTTGTTCAGTTATTCGAACCTGACAGTGTTGACTATTCTGATGGCACTGCCAGGGTGAGGGTTACCTAAGGGGGGGAGGGGGAGTGGTCGCAGGTTGGTGAATCGGAAGTCTTCCATTACGGTTCTGAGAGGCTGTACATTGTGGATCAGCTGCTGCAGAGTAATCGGTCGATCCAATCCCAGCAGGAAGGGGCTAATCAATGCTGATTGAGAGGGCAATCTCACTACAAGTATCAGTTTCTTCGGTCAAGTTGGACTAAGTTCAAGTTATCTTTTAGATAGGCATTTGGTGGAATGCAACCTCATATCCTCTGAAATATCCTATCCGCTGAACTATCCTCTGAACTATCCTCTGAACTATCCTCTGAAGTATCCGCTGAACTATCCTCTGCACTATCCTCTCCACTATCTCTGAAGTATCCTCTGAACTATCCTGCATTATTCTCTGAAATATCCTCTGAAATGTCCTCTGAAATATCCTCTGAAATATCAAACTGGAGACTGTACCCTTGGCAAGTGAGGACGGCATACCTTTTTTTTTTTTTTTTTTTTTTTTTTAAAAACACACGCCCCCACCAGTGCTAGTGGTGCTGATACGAGCAGACATAATAAACTCTCTGCAGTGATTAAGTGAGGATGGCATATCAATAGGAGACTAGGACCATCGTCATTCTTACCTTGTGACGACAACTACTCTTCTTCGGTACTGTAGTACTGTCGACTAGAATAATGGTGGTGATGAGACTGTGCAGATCCGCGATCAAGTGTGGGGTGTCTTTCTCCGTCCCCCTCTGGTTATAATGGTTATGAGTACTGTCGTGTGGGAAGTCGGATCGGATCTTATCAGTACTGTCGTTTACGATCTCAGAACACGGATTCCCCCCCTGCGCACCAAAAAAACCCAAGAACACCGGCCCTTTTTTGTTTTTGTTTTTTTATACCTGTTTTCACTTCCAGACCTTTACCTGATCTCACAACCCCAACATGGGCCCTTTAAAAAAAAAAAAAAAAAAAAAAAAAAAAAAAAAAAAGGCTACAAGGCAGCGTAACCCACCCCACCTCCGATCATCGTTAGTCTGGCAGCTGCTCCTGATCAGCCTCCTGGATTGCCTTCCACCCTCGGCGAATCCCCAGATCTCACTCTTTTTTCTTTTTTTTTTTTGCAATACTAGGAGAACTTGTGGATTTTATTGCCAGCATTGGCTACCCCAGAGGAGACTGGGGGGTTCACTGAGCAGGTGAAGAAATGGGGGCTTGCCTGAGTTACCTCTTCACCCCTGATCTCACTCTGGTGGGCTGACCTGTGGAACTTGTGGTGCAAGTACTGGTGGGCTAACAAAAAAAACAAAAAAAACAAAAAAAACAAAAAAACAAAGAAAAACTAAAAGTATAGAGTCAATTATAGACTCTGTTTTTGAAACTGTGGTAGACTACCAACTGGCCTACCTAGGTCAGTTTGTATACCCATGAACATATGAAATGCAGACCTGAGTTTGAGTCCAGATGGGACCAGATGAATGACATCAACTTATTCTGAATAAGCTGGGGTCAATCGGCTCGACAATGGTATCTCGAGGCCGTTGCCCGTTTAAAAGAAAAGGAAAAAGAGAGAAAAAAAAACGGCGGATGGCCTTGCTGCCTTACCTCAGTGCCCTTCGATTCCTTGAACATGGACGCAAAATTCTCGCTGGAGATACAATTTGCTGAATCACTAACATTGATGGCTACACAATCAAGTCCATTGTTGTCTGTCACAGTCATTCCAGTCACACATATTAATCCTGCCAAATCAAACATGCAGCCAAGGGAAAGAATTAGTGCGATGGAAATCGGGTGATTCTTCAGCCTCTAGTACACCCAGGCCCGGCGGCCTTCCACTGCGCGCCAAGCTTTTCCAAACTGCCAGCACCACACTTTTTATCTTTCTTGGCTGACGCTGGCAGCCCCGAGCCTCCAAAATTTTTGTAGGCGATGAACTGTTTCTCCACAAGGCTCGGGCCAAGCTTTTCTGAACCGCCAGCGGCGCACTTTCTTTCTTTCTTGGCTGGCACCGGCAGCCCCGAGCCTCTGAATTTTTCGTAGGCGATGAAGGATTTCTCCACAAGGCTGGGCCCAAGCTTTTCCCTTTTTTTTTATAAAAGAAAACATCGGCGGGGGGGGGGGGGGGGGGGGGGGGGGGGGGGCTGGTAAGAGCAGACACACCCTCTACTGCTCCCGCTCTTAGATGGCTCTGTTCCATTGGTGGGGAGCTGCACCTGCTGGAAACTGGGTCCAGCGTCCCTTAACATTAAACCACCAGTACCTGGCCCAGCTATCGGCCGCAGCGCTTCCCGTATACGCGCCGCGCCATTTGGGCTTCGGCCTGCCGGACGGCATTGGCTGGAGGCCGCAGGCAAAACGAAAAAAAAAATTGCGACGGCGGTTCGGCAGGACTTGCCGCGCAGCGTGCTGGGAGGCTCGGATTCAATAGCTGAGCGAGGTACTGGTGGTTTAAACAAGGAGCATGTCATGGTGATCATGGTTATACAGTTATTTTGGGATAAAGCAGTGCTGTTCTACGATAGCAGAACCTTAGGCTAGTGCATTATGGGCTTCAGGGGGCTAGGAGGCGAAGCTGTCCGCTTCGGGCACCACCACCTCCACTCACCACCCGGGCCCCCGGGGCCCTGTCATGTCGTGGCTGCTGTTGTCTTACATTAGAAGGCAAAGCTGTACACTTCGGGCTCCACTGCCTCCATTCGCCCCCTGGGGCGCTGTCATGTCGTGGCTGCTGTTGTCCTTAGGTCTCAGGTCTCTCAGCAATGGAAACCAATACTTGCTATGCATGCTGTTGTCCCTCCGTGTCAGAACAGCGGCAACCATTGGGTGGTGTGCCTGCCAGATGCGATGTCGTTACTCCCTCTCTTGTATGGTTAACCCCCGCAGTCAATTGCCATCATAGGAGCTTGGTGCATCAGTCATCACTGCAGGTCTCCCACTGCCTGGTGAACGGAAGGGGGGGAGAGAGGGGAGGTGGAGAGGGTGGGTAAAAAAAGGGTGCCGCAGGGGCTGTAGGGAGGGAGGGGGAGAGCTACCGGGGGCAAGAGTGACTGCGTTAGTCGGGGGCGAGGGAGTTTGGGGCGGGTAGCGTGGTAGGGCGAGTGGGAGACTGGCCGGTGATCTGTCAAGTCATGAGAACAAAGTTGGGCTGAAGATAGGGGACCTCAAAACAGCGGAAAGGTCCTCGTTGCCATGAGGGTTCTGACCTCCTCCACGGCTTCCAGTCGATGTTGAGCCTGGAGTTGAGTTTAGAAAAGCTCTGGTGCGGGTCCTGCCAAAGCGGGCAATACGTCTCCTGGATAGCTTCCTTTACTAAGGGATCCTTCTCCTCCCTGTAGTCCATCATAAAGGAGTTCCAGGCTTCATGTGTACGGGACCTGATTTCCTCTTCGATTGCTTGCTGGGCTTGCTGCAGTCCAAATTGGTGGTCTCTCCTTTTGAAGGAACATCTGGGTCTCCAGGCCAGCATCAGGACTTGCAGTCTCATATACAAGAAGAGGTTGGTAGCAAAAGGGGACCATTGCGCCAGCAGATGTTGGATTTTGCCAAGCAGCAGGAGCCCCGGGTCCCACGGAATGTGCAGCCCTATGAAAGGATGGAAGGCCGTGTCCCACTATTGCCACAGTTGGGTGACCATTGGGCACGCCAGCAGGCATTGTTCCAGTGTTGCCCGGATTGATGGGGTTGACTTGCCGCAGTAGACGCAGATGGGAGATAATAGCCCTTTCTGCTCTAGGTCTGTTCTCGAGACAAGCCAATCTGGCATGGGCAGACAAAATTGAAGGATCTGCCATTGCAGGGCTCTCAGCTTCGTGGGCATATCTTGGAGTACTTAGCCCGGGCCATACTTTTTGACAACTCCGGGTCCAGGGGTGAGTCCCGTTCCCATCTTCGGGATACTGTTTGGTCAATTGGTAGGGTTGCACGCAAGGCTCTATATCCCCCTTTGACTGTATAATCCCAGATGTGCATGGGCTTAGATCCAGGCCACTCCCACTACCCTGGGTCGAAGGGTAGCCGTGCACTGACCCTCCTCACTACGCTGCACCCGATATATGATAGACAGGAGGGGTAGGTCTGCATATTTAGCCACCCAGTCATTTGCATAATGGTGGGGCCAGTTCTAAGGATCAGCCTCCAGGCCAGGGGGAGGGCCTCCCTTAGCTCAACCGCCTTCTCTCCCACATTTTATACATATTTGAGTCTCAACTGCAGCTGCTCCGTCGTTGCCCAGTCCGCCGCCTCCGAATCCCATATGTCCCCAACCGTGAAAACTCCCTTTTTTACCCAGGTAACCCAGGGGCAGTTTGTGGTTAGGACAAAGGGGTTACCATCGTCATCCAGCATGAACGGGTTGCCGAAAAGGGGCTGCCTCCAAATGTCGTGCCATCTGTTGGGAGGCCGTTTCTGCTGCGGACCGCGTCTCCTCCGAAGTTTAAGCATGTACGACCGCAAGGGGTCCAAGAGTAGGTCTTGTCTAGCTGCTTGCTGTGGGGTATTCACCCACCTTTGTTGAGAGGGGGAGGGTATTGTTCAAAAAATATTAGTTAGCCACCGGAAAGGGTACAATCCATTGGCCGTTGGTGCCTTAGGCGCCAAGCTGGCTCTCTGCAGACCTTAAAGATCAAAGTTTTGTCTTTTAGACTGTCCGATGGTGACTCAAGTCTAGTGCTGGTGGGACGCAGCGTGGCACTATCTCACAGGGGAACATTTACCATGAGATGTTTGTACCCTTCTGCTGGGAGGTCCCCCAGAGGGCCAAGCGGACTGGACGCCTTTTATGACAAACCTGTTCACATACTCCAGACTAACAGTGCTGATGGCGACCTGGAGGATGCGATGTGTGTACAAAGGAAAACAACATGATTTTGGCTTCATGCAAGCACGGGCAACAATTATAGACACTATCACAGCCAATACCCAGGAGGCCTAGAGACAGATGCAATCCGAGCTACAGAAAGAACCGGAGGAGGCTAGAACACGCCACGTAGTGGATGGATTCAAAGCCACCTGGACGGATGGCAATGGGAGATTGTGCACTCTTGACAACACTCTCTGCAGTGGCAGCCTTGACTGTCAACGGAGAGGCAGTGGGAAAGGCTGCCAAGGCACCGCTTTCAGGTGGTATACCAACCTACTAACTTCCTTCTCATCCCATTAGAGGACTGTGCCCAACACCCCGTCCACCTATCTCGTCCCGTCCCTCTCCCCCCCTTTCCCCTTTTTTCCCGCAACCATTCCCACGACCCGCCATGACCACTCCCTGATAACACTCCCCCCCCCCCCCCCCCCCCTCCCACAACCCCCCCCCCCCCCCCTCTGTCTCTGCTACATTGACCTCCCATCTCGATTGCCGGCCAGGGATGTTCGAGAGCAGACTGAGTAAGTAGGGCAGAAGGAGAAGCAGGCACAGTCTGTATATTAACTCTCAAATACTTAGTCCTAGTACACTTTGTGGAGACAAATGGCTCGGGCA